AGGTAATTAAAGGGTGTGATATTGGATTAGTGATGCTGGGATGAATTAATTAATATTAATAATACATAAAATGGAAAAGTAGGGCATATGGTCGTCGGTTTTCTGTTGGCAGGGCTAAGGCACTCGCCACCCTTGACTCTATTCTATATAATTTATAGATTAGTGGCTGTTTATTATGGTCATCAAGTTGACAGAATGTATTAATAGGCCAGTTTAATTAATTCAAAAGGTTTTGGTGCTTTGCTTGGGGCTCCTTCTTGATAAGGGATATACCCATCGCAGCCTCTCGCTTTTTATATATAGGAATAGGAATTAATTTAGTTAATTAAGCCATTGATGTGTAATCTTTTCAATCATCAACACTAATCAAGGGATTGTTATTTGTAGTTTTGTACTTAACTTCTTATATTATTTTCTTCTCTCACATGCATATAAGCACGAGGATTTTCTTTATATAATATAAAATACAGATCCGGAAAGAGGGAGAACAAAAATTAAAACAGTTGCATTATTCAAAAGGGGCTAAAGGCTAATGTAATGTGGTTCCCATTATGGAATGCAGACCTTTGCTGTATGCATGGTAATATGGTATTTCTCAAAAGGATGCGTTTCTCAATCTGGGCTTTCGTGGCGGGTAGAGGTCATTGGGGCCCCACATTGACATGCCACTTATCCTATATTTCAAAAGCAGGATCCAACCTCGTTGTTATTATTTATTTTTGCTTTAAGGGGTATTCTTTTTTTTAATTCTGAGAGGGGGAATCCCATTGACCAAGAATCTCATTTTTTTTTTCAAATTTATGTGGGGATGAAGGAAAGTTTATTTTCCTGATACCCATCTCCTTGGTGGGTAAATAACTTTCCCACCTAGGGGAAAGATGCCAACACTTGAATGGGACAAAAATACCCTTTTTAATAATGGATTTTTATGGCTAAAATGGTTGTTGCTTTATTTACATGAGAAATAAAAGAACATGGGTAAATGCACTTATCCGAGTAAGTGTTTCTCAAGAAAAATTTACCCAGATAACTGCATTTACCCGGATAAATAACTTACCGAAAAACGAACGAGGCCTAAGAGATATAGAATGGGTGGTAGTCCATTTCCCAAATCCATAACCCCCCACCAATTTGATCAGGTGGGATTCGGTCCCAAATCTCGATTACAATCAATAGGAAACCTTAACAACCAGCTGATTGTCACTTTGCACCCTAAGACAATTTGTAACTTATTATTATTAATTAATGGTTATTAGTGGACGATTAGTGAACTAGATAGCCATTGATTTGGTTTTCTTTTCATTGATGTCATCACTGACGTGATAGTTGTTATCCTTCATTAGTGACTAACTTTCTTGAATTAGGGTTTATTTTTGTCAATGATCCAAAATCAGAACATGGAGATTTTGGGTTGGATTCTGAAGGACCAGGTAGTCAATTTGAATTGTAAAAGAAACAAAGTCACCCCTTTTCTTTATATTTGTTTATGTTTGTTGGGATGATAGGAGTCATCGGACCACCTAGTCCGTTTAGCTTTCTGAAATATATACATATCTGTCTCTAAGCTTTTATGCCTTTAAAACCGACTCTTTTCTTCCATTCATACAGAATGTGAAGATCCAACGGCATTATTCTATACGTCAGACAAAGAGAGAGAGGCACTCGATCCATTTTTTTTCATGGGTGACTTCTAGACCTTGAACTTTAGCTATCCGGTTCTGTACATGTTTTACCTATTTGCAGACAGTTTCTAGTTATTTCCCCCTTACTTTCATTTCTAACTTGCCGAGGCAGAAGACTTGGTCTCAACAATCACTTCCTCTGTTTGTTTTGATGCTTTTGTTAATCCTCTTCTAGAACATATCTGAAAGTAACGTTTATAAAATTTTACAATACTTTAGCCCCATCATACGAATACTAACTTTTACAAAGTCATTTTTTGAAGGAAAAAAAAAAAAAACTTTTACAATTAAAGTCATTTTTGGTAATCCAGGTGAAGCCAAAGAACCAATAATATACCCACCATATATAATTATTTTAAACTAAATGTGTTCTTGTTGAACATGTAGTCAGACTGAATCAATCATGAGTATCCCAGTAAGACGGATTTTGCAAATTTGACTGAATTGGAGTTGAGAGAGAGTGTAAAAGTTTTGGCTTAATTTGTGATGGATTACATTGATTTCAGAGTCTTTGTTTAATTTGTTTATTTGATTTTTTTTGGGAAAATGACTGATTAGCCCAGCTCAAAATTCTTTAACCCCACACCGTGGGGGATGAATCATGACTGTGAATCCATAGTTAGAGGTCCAATTTACCAGAAGAGGCACCAACCCAGGTCCATGATGCGTATTTACTCATGATTACAAATGTAACAGGTCGATTCCAAGTCATGAAAATAGAAGACAAGAAACTCCGATCTCTACTCGTAGAAAATTAATTGTGAATACAGTGAGAAATAATATATTTGGAAGACGGTTAACTTTCACGACCCAGGGAAATCACAAATCTCAAAGAACGATGAATGACAATTCAGATCTTAAATTCTTCAGACTGCATTTGCTTGAGGTGTAAATTTAAATTTTACACTACGGAAAAATGTAAATCGGTTTAGTGATTGATGGAAATTGGGATCGGTTGATTTTAAAAATTTACACCAATCATGTTTGGTTTTTTATGGTGTAAATTTTCAAACTGGGTCTCGATGGAAAAAGGTGAAGCAAAGCTTATGCAGTGTATCTTACACAATGCTTCAATGCGTACATCGGCAGGATTTGCGCTGATACGCTGCTCGCTGCTGTCGAAACTCTGATACGCCGAAATTAAGTCTGGACGGAACTCTGATACGCCAGAGCTGGTTCACTCTCTTCTTCGATCGAACTCTGATACACCGCCGCCGCTCACCGCTCACTGATACTCTCTTCTTCAACCGAACTCTGATATGCTCACTTCTCACTGTTCACTGGTATGCCGGAGCCGGTTCACTCTTTGGACAGAATCTGACAGGCCATTGCAGTCGCATTAGTTCACTCTCTTCTCCGATGGAACAAAGAGATGCAGCCATTGGATAGAGGAGACGCAAGGTAATCGTTGGACAGAGGAAGAGGAAAGTAAAATTTTACATCAATTTTATCTATGTAAACTTTCCACTGATTTTCAATGAATATACTAACAAGAATGGACTTTTACACCCATTAATGAGGTATATTAACACGTCTACCAAATGCTTGCAAAATCGAATCGGGGTACAAAGTTTATCTCAGCTCTCGTTTACACTTCTACCAAACGCAGCCTAAAAAGAAATTCTAATACCCGGATAAGTTGAAGAATTATGTATTAAGCATGAAGAAAGAAATTAAAAAATAATTAACCAACTCCTAATTTTTTTCTTGTTCATGTAATTAAGAAAGCAGTTGGAGGCCGGATAAAGGATGCATAAGATCACAAGTTATTCTCATCAGAAGTAGAAGCCCTCTGATCCATAGACGGAAGTTAATATAAGAATTATAAAGAATTCCAAGCTACAAGCTACGCGGAAGAAACAAATTTAATAGTTGTAGGAGATTGAATTAGGGTTGAAAGATGAGTATATATATAGCCTAGCTAATAGCTAGATAAACGATTGTTCGACTTGCTTGTTGCCCATGGGGAGGAATGCGGCTCAAATGGTGTATTCGGTTCATATGCTTGTTTTGGTTTGGATGGGAAGAATATAATTGTATCTCAACTCAAGCAGTCTTATTCTTTCTTTTCTTTTTCTCTTTTAATTTCCCTGTAAAACAAAAACGCAGCATCTCCAAACTTCTGGGTCTTGTACATACAGCATATTAATGGTTTGCAATTAGAAAAAGTACAAGCTAGCTTTGGGATGACAGAGTGGTGGTCTAATCTCGGGAGTACGATCGATATAATATATAGATGATGGTATATATCAATAATCATGCATCAACAGAATTAAAGAACATTGATATATACCTAATTAATGGTTGATACTTGAGACATGGATCCAAATCTATTAAATCCGTTCCCGCCGATAAGCTAATTTCAGCTGCACAGTAATTAATGCGATGATGGTTAAGTGGAAAGTAATAAAGGGCGCGAAGAAAGAAGGGAATCCAAAGGGGATGAGCTAGCTAGCTATGATATGATACGATCTGATCTAAATCTAAGTAAGTAGAGTACCACTTGTGTTTTCATCTACAACTACAAAATTAACGCCCATCATCAGGTGTCCGGCCTATTTTTTTACCGGAAAAATGGAAGGGAATGCAGCAAATCGTTTTCGCACATGCTCGAGTTTCTCCCCTTGTGATTGGAACTACGTGAGATGTGACTGATGAGATGTGCTTTCAGTGCTCCTATTGCCATTGCAGACATGGGAATAACAATAAAAGAATGCAGCCACTTTTGGATGCCCTACTTGCTAGAGCCGAGCGAGTTGTAGCCAAAATGTCAAAGCACCTTTTTCTACTTTAGTGCCTTTTCATGGGGATGGGGTGTTCCGAGGAACTCACTCACTGCACACCAACATGTATGATGCATTCACCCATGCCATGTGTTAACTGTTCAACAAATTAACACGTACCATTTCTGTCTGTGACTCTGTGGATATGAGAGAATACGGTAAAAAAACTCAAAAGTTGTTCCTATATATCGCTCCGCCCAATCATCTTCATTCTTCACCCAGAGATAAACTCCACTCGAAAAATACAATATTACACCCAAATAGGAGCAGGGGGACCTCTCACCTCGCTCAAAGTGGAGTGATTCTGATTTCTGAGGTGGAATCAATTGCAGTCAATATTGTCAGACGTTTAGCTTTCTTTCTTCCCTAAGGTTCAGTTTGGAAGGAATATAAATATAAATATGTAAAGTGCAAAACCTTGTATTTTATATTATTTTGTATGTATATATATATATACTGTACATATTTACATTTATACTCTTTCCAAACTCAGCCTAATGAGAACACATTGCATGGCCAGTAGCTAGCTGCTAGCAGATTGAAGAACAACAACAGTCCACAGAAAATAATAATATGAGAACTACGTACCATTAATTCAATGGGGAAAAAAAAGAAGAAGCTCCACCTCTGAATGAGTTTATTAGGGTTCTTTTGAGAAACAAACAACCTCTTCCCTAGTACTTACTGGTACACATTAAATTTACACCATCCATGTACAGTGCTGCGATTACTGCGGACCGATATACCTTGACTCCTCAAGAGGACATTCTTGTAGTTGTAGCACCGCTTGCTCCCTACTCTCGTAGTTGTGGGTAACTAGATGAGGATAAACCAGAGAGTTTATATCACCCCAGCTAGAGCTCTCCGCCGAGCTTGTCCAAGTGCTGTCATTAACCATGACACCAGCTCCATTGTAAAATTCTAAGCCTTCTAATCTTTGAGTTTGAGAGTTGTGATGATAGACAATCTGATCGAGCTCCACTACTGGGAAAGTAGTACTGTTGAGTCCTTGCAAAATGTGCATGCTTGCCACGTCCATGCCATACTGGTTCTGGGCGTCCGTCCATTGACAAGTAGTATTGTTACTTAGGGATGGACCTTGATCATGACAAGGTAGCAAATTGATGGAATTCTCATAAAGCTGTTGTTGGGTGGAGGGAATATCGAGTGGGCACTGAAAGTTCATGCCCTCGTCGCTTGGTTGTTGATGATGACCATCTCCATCTGAAAACCTTCCTCCTGCTCCAAGCTTATTGATTAGCAATTTCCTGAGGGATGCGTTATCGCTGATGATCAGATGGGGATCTTGGTTCTGACAAGGCATGAATACAGGCATAGGCAAATCTGGCCAGTAAGGGTTCTGCAGCTGGTTGCTGCTTTCGGCTGCTGATACCGCTATGGGGTTATTACCATTTCCTTTCTTCATCTCTTGCTTTAGGCTATTAACTCTACGAGCGTTTTGTTCCTTCCGCTGCTTACCCAGAAGTTTCTTCTTCAGCCTTGTGTTCCAATAGTTCTTTATATCGTTATCGGTTCGTCCGGGTAGTTGTGCTGCGATAATAGACCACCTGTTCATGCACACAAACAAACTAAATTGTTATGTTGTAACCTAGCTTGGAACCAATGAAGGGCATGATGAGATCGATTGAGGATATGGAAACCCATTACAATACAATTTTTTTTTTCTTTCATCAATATTAATTTACGTACCTGCTTCCGATGCTTATGTAGAGGCTGCAAATTATGTTATCTTCTTCCTCAGAGAATCCTCCATGCTTGATGTTTGGGCGGAGATAGTTCAACCATCTGAGTCGGCAGCTTTTCCCACATCTTTTAAGGCCTAAATTAACCAACAAAAACCCACACGGAGAGTGGAACATATGTAAGTAATCCTGGTTCGTTTTGCTTGGATAAAAAGAGAATAAGATCAAATAAAGTAACAGAAAAAGAGCTAGCGCTAAATTTTTTCGTAGTACATACCGATCTTCTGCGGCAAGGCTATCCAGTTGCCGCCGGTGCCGTTCTGTTCGATATAAGCCTTGAGTTTGGCATCTTCTTCAGGTGACCATGGTCCTTTCTTAACGTTGGCTTTGTCACAACAAGGAGCTCTCCCCATTCTTTCTCTGTGTTTTATGAGCTTGCAGCTAGCTTGTATTTCTCTTTTATGGATGGTAATGGTATATTATACAGAGAGAGAGAGAGAGATTATAATAGCTGGAAAAGTTGAGACATGGTTACTAGAACAGCCATGACTACTTTTAAAAGGGGTCGTGGTTTAAAATTTGCCTTAATGGAGGAATTAAAAATGCCAGAATAGAAGACCAGGTTTTTTCTCCTTGTCTTTCTTATTCCAGAATCTATATAATGTAAACGTCACCCTCCTGGACTTCCTCCTCCCTCTAAAGCATCAAAGACTTTTGAACATTATTTGAATGTGGTAATGCTATAATTGGTATTGTATACCATACAGTATGGTCTGCAATACTCCATTATATATTTATATACAAGCGCATGCTAGCTAGTTACACATTAAAATTCTCATCAACAGATCGAGACCATCCATTTAGGGGACCCAACCCATCATATATATATATAAAGAATCCAAACATCAGAAGAACAGCTCAGTTGGAAAATCTCAACCATCCATCACTAGCTTAATTTCTAGGCGATTGCTTAGATGAGAAGCCAAAAAGCTTCCAATGGCAATAAAGGCCAAAGGACAAAACATATCAAATAGTTTTAGAATCCGACCCCAACAGAGATTGAGAGATCATGTAGAAATAAGGGGATTTTCCTTTTTGTTAGGTGACCAAATGTGCAACGAAAAAAGAACCCCCACGACTCCATGAGAAGTGAGACAAATATTTGGTAATGGGTTGAATTAGCCAAGAAATTTTGAGGGGAGAAGGAACATTTATTTATTAACAAATTGGATGCAGCTAGCCATGGTTTTAAATTCAATCAGCTGAGACCAACACCCCACACAACCGGATTCAAGATTTTTCAACTTTTTTATTTATTTATTTATGCGAAATTACAAGTAGTGAGAGTGTCATTGTATGAGAAAACATTTTATTATTGTCCACACAGTATTTGGTCAGACAAGCTCACGGAGTCACCAACCATTGATCAGCCATCCTTTCTGACAATACATGTATATATGTGTTGAAAAAGGTTCACTAGTCCCGTCAAGTAGAGAGCTTTCCTGTACATCTCTGCCACTTGGGAGGATGATGTGGCAGATGCAAACAGTCCCACTACGTTCAGGAGCCTTTTTATTGGCCAGGTGTTCAATCTTCAATCCCAAATCAGCCCTGAATTATATTAATGTCTGGTTACCCTTCCTAGAATATTGATTTCCTGCCAAAAGTTTCTATTGTGAACACTTGGGTTTTATTATTTTAGGCTGAAACTTGTTTCATGAATAAAGATGCTAATTAAGGAAATATACCGACATGTCCCACTAAAACTAAATTGCCACGTGAAATTAATCCTAACTAGGTTGTCCAGGGAAGTGCACTAAACGACCCGACTAGACTAGTATGTAGTAATGTAGACCCGCTCCAATATATTATTTATTTATGCATACGAGAAGGATAAATAAAATAAAAACAATCGAGTTCATTTCTTTCCTGATTCCAGTACAGTAAAATCTAAAAAGTATTAATGCATTCATCTCTTCTCAATGGTTGTGTGGAAAAACCGAAAAAGGTTACATAATGCAAAATCACTAAAATAGTAAAATACTGGCTGCGACTGCGAAACATGGGACTGTGTGTATGGTTGGTTTTTTGTGATATATAATTTCTGAGGTGGTGGTGAGTCCTACTCCTGGAAAGAGACACGTGGTGAGTGATGGACTCCCTCCCACGCCCACCCACAAGAATCCATTTCCAAGTGAAATTAATGGGGGAACGAAAGAGCAAATGAAATATGGTAACGGCTCTGGTTGGTCTGGTCTCCATACGGCGTATCCCAGTGGAAGGGGAAAATGACAAAAGTAAGAAAAAGACATAAAATATCTAACTCAGGTAAAAAACGAGTCGTAAAGTGACACATGTCAAGTAAGTCCACACAGTGGGTACAATGTACTGACGATATTAAAAATAAAGAGAGGAGGGCTAAGCTATAAAGTCACGTCAGATGTCGTCATCAATTTGACCAACTTCCGTCTGTCGTGGTTCCGTGAGTGGGTTCCTCCACCCACCTTTCTTTAGCCTTTATCCATCCCTTCTTTTATTGTCACAACTTTAATTTCAATTTTCAACCAACCCAGCCTCTCCTTTTGCTTCCTTCACCCCTTCAACTTTCAATTTTCTTTTCCCATTCCACTCTTTTCGTTAATTGTTTGTAATATTTAGTCATGGTTCAAAGGATCGATATGATATTCTCGATCAGGCATATCGTATCGTATTTTTTGAAAATTATACAATCTGAAACACCTGTTTCCAGGTGTTTTGGACCCCTAATTTCTTTTAATAATAAAAAATAGATTATAAGTTTTTCAAAAAATCAAATTTTGAAAAAAAAAACTAAAAAAAGAAATAGAGTTTCGACCATTTCTAAGTGCTGATACGATACGGCCGAAACTCGTATCGTATCGATACTTTGAATCTTGGTTATAGTGTTGGAAAAAGAAATATTACAAACAATTGAATGGTGTAATATTTCCCAACACATATTTACACTCTTTCAGTGTAAATTTTCACTATGATCCATATTTGTTGGTATATGTTGATATTTTTACATTGAAAACCGATATAAATTTTATCTATATTGAAAATTTGCATGATAAATGATGTAAATAATAAAACAATATCAATAAAATCAATGTATTATTTAGTATTTACATTGATAATTATAATCATTCCTTTTCATTTTACAATAATTCACTCATTTAAACCAGATCGATGTTACACTCAATTAATACTTTTATATTAATGTATTTACAAACATTTACACCGAAAACAAATGCGTGCAGCCCAAGGAAAAATGGTTTTCATCTCTCTAGTCTCTACTTCTCACAAGAATTGAGTATATATAAAGTTTTCAACACGGCAATCAAGTTTCTTCTCTCTCTCTAGAGCTCTCTTTTATGAGTTTATCTCTACACATATTTTTCCGAACTTGGACCTACATGTTTGAAATGAACTTGTCTAGAACTGTAAGTACAGCTCATACCAACTTTCTTCTCTCAAGGTTCATTTTAGAAGGATGGGTTGGTGTATGAAAGATGCCACCTTTTCAATAAAGACACAAACGCAATATAATACGATCCCTTTAGTAGTTGTCTTTGAATTTAAAATTGGATTCAGCCTCTTCTATGACCTAATTAATACCAAGTGTCCACATGCTAATGGATTTAACTCTACACAAAACATGAATGCGTGCATCCTTTTATTTAATTTAATGAAGACTTGTGTGTACATATAAGGCTAAAAAGATTGAACATGAATATGGGGTTGGGGCCTTGGCATGGCATAAATGTGTGAGTGTGACCATTGACCACAGACGACACAGCTCTCATAATTAAAATGTTAAAATATTGCTTTGATCTCAAAGCTTTAGACGTTATAACTTGGGTATCCCAATAGTTTACAGCTGTGAGATGCCTAACCGATGTTGATTGGAATACATGGTTAGGCTAGCTAGTAGGCTAGGCGCGCGGTAAAAGGATGGTAACTGGTAAGGTATAGATGAAAATTTGGGCCATAATTGGATTTGGATGCACTACAACTACAAAAGCTGTTGCTTCCAATCTTGACAACATTTGTATGGATACCTCCTTGTGTTTTCCTTTTCTACTGGTTGGTGGCAGTTCGGTTGACGGAGACTTGAATCTAGAGTACACTGCTAACTGATCGATGAAGACAGGAGCTCGGGCTGGAAAATCAGGGCCCCACGTTTTCTGCTTGTGTTCCTCTTACTCTGCTACTATATATATGCAGTACCCTTCCACGCACCTACGTACAGAGATCTTCATAATTGACCCCCCCCCCCCCTTAGCTTATTATTAATACACGATTTGAAAACTCGACTGCTGATTGGGGGCCCAGTACGTGTTCTGTCGTGTAAGATCGATCCACCCCTGGGTCATCCATAATTATATTCCTTGAAGATTTCTATTTTTTTGGTTAGATCTATATATTACCAATACTTGATACATATATAATTGGGTAAGCTAAAAATGAAAAACTAATCCAAACTAAATACAGAAACAAAATGACATATATATCAAATAGAAAGGTGCATCAAGAAACAAAAAAAAAAGGGGTTCTTTACTTCTTTTTCTCCCCCTCCCCCCTGAAGATTTGTAGACAACCTCGTTTTTAGAACTTCACAAAAGACTGAGAAAAAGTATGAAAAAGTGAGGCCGGCAGAGGCAGAGCAGTTCAGTTAATAATAAAAAGCTTTATTAACATACTTTACAAGCGCCATGGCTATAAAGTTTGAAAGGATATAGGTGGGAAAGAGAGTCAGAAAAGGGGAAGGATCATACAAATCTTGGAAAGTTGTAGGTATTGTTGTTTATAGAGGTATAAAGGCCTGGCCTTCACAGTTCACACTTCACACAATCACCATCCACCAGAAAAAAAAAAGCAAGGGAAAAAGCTTTTAGTCCTTCATATTTCTTTTCCTAAAAAGGTTCATTCTGTTCGCAGAGTTCGTCAGCTATCCACAGTTAATTTCCTTTGTCTTTTTTAGGTGCCTAATCAACAAGGCAAAACAAATGGAAACGAAGACTAAGACCGCCGTTCATCGCGCAACCCACCATCCAGAACGGAGAACCAGGGCAGCCTAAAAAAGACTAAGCTTAGGATTTAAGAGCAGTCTAAACGCAGACTGCTCTGATGGGTTATGATACCAGCAGCTGATTGGCTAAGTGTTTTCCGTAATCATGGTCAAACCCATAAATAAAGTAGAATTATGGGAAGGCCAAGTTCTGTGGTCCTTGTGTCTAGGACCAGCCCAAACCATACTGACCCAATACGAGATCTTTGGTCTGGTTGTGCTGGCTTTTCATGATGCAGGACTGCACAGTCTGCACTTGGGCTTTGAATTTATGCCTTGGAGTCTTGGACAAATATATATGATTGGGGCGGTAAATGTAGCAACAATTTGAATGTTTTTCTATTACTATCAACCTAAAAGTTGGTTGGTTTGCTAACGAAAATATCAATCTCTTATAACCCTTTTTTTTTTGGTAAATAACTGAAGTTAATCCATTAAATCTGAAAAGGAGTTCTGGATACATCAGGGGAAATTAAACTGAGAAAGCAACCCCTGTAGTTAAA